GGCAATAGATGTTAGCTCAGAGCCGGTCTTCCTCAGCAAAAAGAGGAGGATTGGCATGGATGTTAGCTCAGGGCTGATCTTCCTCACCAAAAAAAAAAAAAAAAAAAAGACGTAATATTAACAATTCAGTTCCAGGGCCGGCCCCATGGTGTAGCAGTTAAGTTCCACACACTCCACTTCAGCGGCCCGGGTTTGCAGGTTTGGATCCTGGGTGCAGATCTACACCACTCCTCAGCCATGCTGTGGCAGCGACCCACGTACAAAATAGAGGAGGACTGGCAACAGACATTAGCTCAGGGTGAATCTTCCCCGGGGGCGGGGGGATGGAATTCCAGTTCCTCAGTCACACCCGCCACGTTTCCGGTGCTTCTCAGGCCCTATCACCCTGGGTTACGTGTGGGTCTCCCACCTGTCACTCTCCTATACAAACCCTTCCCAATCCCCCTGGGGACAGAGGTGCCGCTCCTTAGGCTGGCTTTTCACAGACCTTCTCCGGTCTCATTGCTCGTTGTCCCCAACCCTGCACTCTGAGCACCAGCACACCAAGCCATTAGTGGCCCCAGAGGGCCTTCTCAACTCATACTCTCCCCTTGCCTAGAACTCTCTTTCCTCTTTATTCCCTGCTCACTCTTCTGTGTCCTTCAGGGCTCAGCTTGGTTAACCTCTCTTCTAGAAGCTTCCCTTGAGTTGTGGCCCCTCCCCTGTGCTTCCACAGTGCACCACGCTGCCTCCATTACTTCACGTAACCACAATTACAATAACCAACCCTTACTATGGGCTGGGCCCTGTTCTAAGCACTTTACATGTATTCACTTTTAATCCTCCCAACATCTCTTTGTGTTAGGCACTGTCATTATTATCATCTCTGTTTTACAGATAAAGCAACCAAAGCTCAGAGAAGGTAAGTCATTTGCCCAAGGTCACACAGCCAGTGGATGGTGAGGCCAAGCTCTTCACCACAATGCTAAGATGAGAGCAGTCACGAGGATGGCCAAATGATGCAGAAATCCAAGTGTGCACAAAGACAGGCAACTGAAGGGCAGGGGCCCGCGTGTCCTTACCTGTGCGACGCTTCGGGATCCCTGATGGGGAGGTGTGCACAGGAGACGTGCTGGAGAGGGAAGGGTTGCTCTCAGGAAGTGTGACAGGACTGGGAGGAGAGACTTTCGGAGAGTCCGGGGCAGGCTTCTGGAAGGGGAAAGAAAGAGCAATTATAGAGTGAGGGGAGGAAGGAGGGAGCACCCAAGTACCTCGTTTCCCAAACAGCTGAGAATAAAGAGGCACTCGGCCCCAGCTCAGGCCTTGTCCCCTCTTACCCGGGCCATCACCCGCGTCCTGTGTAGTTTCATGGTCCCAGACTCTCCCCATCATGGACACCAATAACAACTCTCTTTTTTCTAAAGTAACAGAATCTTTGATTTCTAGCTAGGCATATGATGGCCCCACTAAAGATGACACTTCCCAGCCTCCCTTGCAGGAAGGCGTGGCCGTGAGCCTCACTTCTCCATGATGCCATGTAAGGGGAAAGGACGCATACTTCCCTTGGTTCAAATAATCCACTCGAAGGCGAGTGGAGTGCCCTCCTCTTCCCACTGGCTGAATGTGGACACTCACGTGGACAAGGGCATCTAGAATAGCAAGGAACGGTAGAGAAGCAGCTGGCTCTCCGACACCACAAGATACCACACTTATCCTGGACTTTTACACTCATTAGAGACAGAAATAAATTCCTACCTCACTTAAGCCATTGTTATTTGTGTCTTTGTTTCAACTGCTAACTAACCTCGCAGGGCCTTGTGCCCATTATTAAGTGATTGCCCCTCAGCTCCAAGCCCACGCTGTCCACCCTCTCTTGTCATGCTGGGACCCTGCAAACCCCTTCCTGCTCTGGCGGCCAGCTCTGTCAGGCAGCGCCAACATGGGGCGCTGGAGGGGACCGTGCGAGCTGGATCCCATTTACAGTATTTCCAGCACTTGAGGGTGCTACGTGGTGTGCCACCAGACACCAGCAACACCGGCACCCTCTGCCCAGTGCCCCTTCCTCCAAGATCTGAGTCCCAGGCCCACAGGCACCTCCAAGCTCAGAGACCCCAGCACACGCCAGCCGCATCTCCACCGTGGTCTGAATGTCAGCTCCACAGCCCTGGGGTGGCAGCTGCACCCTGCAGCTGCTACCTCTGTGATGCCTGGGTGTCCTCTTTCTATCCCTTCAGTCACCTAGTTCAGAACTGCAGACCTAGCTGACAACTCTTCACACTAAGTTCTCTACGTTCAAATCACTCATGTGGTTTCTGTCTCCTATTTGGACCCTAATGGATACAGGCCCCAAAGGGATGTTTCGAAGGCTGCCCAGGACCCAAGGCTACCTGGCCCTCTCCTGCTCAAAAGCCTTCCATGGCTCCCTAGGAGCCTCAGGGCCAAGTCCCAGCTCCTAAAGCTGTCCGCGTCCTAATCCCGGCACTTGTGAACATGCTCAGCTACAAAGCAGAGGAAAATAAACGCTGAAGGGGGATCAAGATTGCTAATCAGCTGCCCTTAAGATAGGTGATGATCCTGGATTATCTAGGTGGGCCCAATGCAATCACAGGGGCCTCAACGGCGGGAGGAGAGAGAGTGAGATGTGAGTACAGAAGAAAGGCACGGAGTCACCAGCCTTGAAAATGGAGAAAAGGGGGCCTCTAGAAGCTGGAAAAGGCAGGGAAATGGACTCTCCCCCCGAGCCTCCAGGAAGGACCACAGCCCTGCCAACACCTCGATTCAGCCCCGCGAGGCCCGTGCCAGACTCCCGACCTCCCGAACTATAAGATAACAAGCTTATGTTGTTTTAAGCCCCTAAGTTTATGGTGAATCATTAAAGCAGCAAATGGGAAACTAATACAAGCAGTCGGGGGAGGCTTCCCTGAGGTGGCGTCTGAGCAAAGCCCTGAAGAAGGCGAGGGGTTGGGCCATGTGTGTGCCCTGGGGAAAGAGGTTCAGGCAGGGAAAGGAGCAGGAGGCCCACCTGGCATGTGTGCGACACTGGGGCAGAGGGGGTCGAGGAACAGTCACAGGTGAGGTGGAAGCAGCAGCTCGTGAGGGACCTTGTAGGTCTCCGCAGGGACCGGCCCTGGCCCGAGCTGCAACACGGGAGGGTGGAGCAGCGGAGAGACAGGACCTAACTTCACCACCGCCAGGCTGAGCAGTGCTGCACTTTGGACGTTATCCACAGAGCAATGGACGGGCATTAAATGACTTTTAAACAACAGGAGGAAGTGAGCCCATGTACTGGAGAAGATGAAAAGCCCTCTGATGACAGGACAGGCTGGACATGTTTTTGAGCCCCTGTTCTGTATCAGGCATCATTCTCAGATCTGCGTGAGAACTGACCCCTTTCATCTTCACAGCCACCCTGTGAGGCGGGTGCTCCGGGGAGCTGCACGTTACGGGTGAGCCAGGGAAGCACACCGAGGCCCAGGAGCCTGCCCCAGACCTCAGGGCAGCGGTGGAGCTATGACCACATAGATCAGGCTGTCCACTGGCCCCGGGGCACAACCACTGAACTCTGCCGCCTCCCGGGGCTCGTCTCCAGAGCTCTCTTGAGCAGCTGCTGGACTCAGTTCCAGAGGCTAATGGGAATTATGGTTTCTTCCAGTAAAAATGCGCAGGCTGACGGGGACCTACCTGGTCTTTGGGGGGCGTGAGGGCTTCATCCTCCTCCTCCCCTTCGCTGCCCAGGACCCGGGCTGCCTTCCTCCCCGGCCTCTTCACCGGAGAGTCACCCTCGGGCACCACTCCATTCCGCTCCTTCAGCGCCACCCTGGAAGGTGGGAACATAGGGGTGTTCCAGTAGGAAGAGTGGGGGCACTGCCCCTAACAATCCAGCTTCTTCACTATGTTCCACTCTCTTCCTTTCCTTTTAAGCAATCAATGAACACGCTCTAAGGTCCTCCTTGGCATATACTCTTAATCATCCATCCATCCATCCTACATCTCTGGAGGCCTCCAAAGTGCCCACATGGCGATGGGCGATGCTGAGAAACAAGTGGAATCCCTACTTAGGGCAGAAACTGGACTCCAACATCTATTTGAAGACCCTCTTTCTTTTAGTCATACAAGCCCCTGAGTTTTATTTTAGCTAGGTACGTGGCCCTGGGCTGGGGACTTCCCAGCGTCCCCTGCAGCAAGGTATGGTCATGTGATGGGTTCTGACCAATAGAATGTAAGCGGCCATGACTGACACATGCAACTTGCTTCCGATCGCTTGCCCTCACGTTGTCTTACCCCTGTAACTTGGACTTGCTGACTCATTTTGATGATGCAGCCGAGGGCATGGCAGAGCCTGGGCGGGAAGGGGTGGGAAGGGAACCTGGGTCTCAGGACAACCCAGTGGTAGAGCCTCCTACCTGCCCTAAACTGCCTAAACAGCTCCGAATCTTACGAGACAAAGGCAATTTTTATCTTAACTAAGTCACTGTGACTTTGGTTGCTGTTAAAGCAGCCCTACTACTCCCCTGACATAGCTGAGGAGGAGTTTCCAATCTGGTGAGGAACACAGACCATCAAAATACAGTGCAGTATGAGCGCTGATGGAGGTCACTTAAGGTGCTGAGGACACACTGATTCCTAAGGGTTTCTGCACTCACAGAGGTCACCGTCTGGACAAAGAGACCAACAGGTATAGAGAAAACTCCCTCATCAGGTCAACAAGGTACACTCACGTTACGGAACATCATTACAAAGAAAAAAATGGGTTTAAACGAAGTATCATGGCTCTGAGATCTTTTGAGGAGGAAAAAAAGCAGTAGGCTGTCAACTCTACGAGACAAGCTGCTGTTGATTTTGTTCACTGCTAAATCCCCAGGGTCTAGAACAGTGCCTGCACACAGAACATGCTCCACAGAGGGCTGCTGAATAATTGAGTATGTACAGTATGACTCAATGAACGGAAAAAAATATATGTTTGCCTATATATGCAACTTGCATATATAATAATCCTGCTTTTGTTATTTAAAGATAAATTAAAGGTCTGTGTTATTGAGTATCTGCTATATGTCAGGCATGTGCCAGCTACTTGGGATAGAATAGAGAGTCCAAAATGAGAGTTCCTGCTATCCAGTACATAAGTATGGGAAACACTTACTCAGTCAACAAATATTTACTGAGCACCTACTTTGTGTCAATAACTGGGTTAGGTACATGTATGCATACAGGCATAGAAAAAAGGTGTGGAAGGATATACTCCAAACTGGTAAAAGTAGTTCCCCTGGGAAGTGAATACTGGGATGACTTGAAATTTCTACTTTGCCTACTTCTCTCAGTTGATGTATTAACAATTACCATGTATAAATCTACATACGGTATCTGTGTTATGAAAAAAATATCTGCGCATGTGCCGAAGGAGACACACATATAGACTATTTATTGCAGCACAGATTGTTTCAGCCACAAATTGGAAGCAACCTAAATATCCATCAGGAGGGGAACGTTAAATAATTTCTATAGTACAAACCTAAAATGGAACACAAGGCAGAAAGTAAAAGGGATCATAGTCCTCTGTGTTCAAGAATGGAAAAAAATCTCTAAGTCATTATGTTGCTGAAGAAAGCAAGCTGAGGCACGATATATAGAGTATGATCCATATTTTAAAAACATTACAATGTCAGAAAACCAAACTACATATGCATGTACATATAGCAATGTATACACAAAAGGGGTAGATGTGAAAATCAAGAGGGTTGGAAAAAAATCCTGACTTGATTCTTACCACATAATGAGTGCCTTTTATGAACCAGGCACTGTTCTGCAAGTTCTAAGTGTGTCAATTCACCAAACCCACACAGAAACCTGATATAGATTATGATACCCTGTTACACACGAGGAAGCTGGGACACAGGAAGTGAAGTTAATTGCCCCGGGTCTCAAATTGGGGATGAGAACTAAATCTAGGTTAAGTCCAGGCTCTGGCAAGCTGACTGATCCAGGGTGATCACATGACCCAACTAGGGTCTTGCTGGGAACTTGTGATGTGGATGCTGGAGGAGAGAACAATGCTCATTTCCACTTATCTGAGTCGGCATCAAAATGCAGCCAGTGGCCAGCTTCTCTGCCTCCCGGAGAACGTCTGCTCTAGAACAAAGCCAACACATGTGGAACAGAGCCCTGAAAACAAGTCTGAAACCCTGGATCCAGCTGTGCCTGAAGCTGGACTACTTTTGGACTCACCAGTTACTGGAGTCAAAAATTCCCTTTGGGGCCCCGAGACATTCTGAGCTGGGCTTGTAACACTTACAGCCAAGGGAGTCCTGATTAATAAAGGGACAGATTCACCACATCCTAGCCCGTTACGTACTTTGGAGGGGGCTCCGTCTCTCTGATGCTGTTGGATGTCTCCTTCTCTGGCTTCTTTGCTTTGCCCTCCTTCTTGGGGTGGAAAAATGACCTGGAGAAGCAGAGGAAGGGGGAAAAAATAGGGAATGACGACAGCACCAATAACCCCTCTGATCTGTGCCACACCCTACAGCTCCGACGCCCATTCCCATCCCAGCACGTAACAGAGGATTTCAAACAACCCCCTTCGACTGATAACAGAAGTGAGGCTCAGACAGAGGAGGCAACACACTCTTATTTTTCCACCAGGACTCAGACCTGAGAGAGAGGACACACCCCAATTTTCATTCAACAAGTATTAACTAAGCACTTACTAAGTGCCAGGGCCTGTCCTGGGCCCTAGGGAGAGACCCAGACACACGATGTCCCCCGTGAGGGGCTGACACTCCAGTGGAGGAGGCAAATATTAAGTAACTAAATATAAAATGACAGAAGGCATTAAGTGCTCTGAAAAAGATACAGAAAGCAAAGTGCCTTCCCTCCACTTGAGACTGGCCAGACGAGTGGCTTGCTTCCAGAGAACTGAGTACTGAGAGGGAGAAACAGGAACTTGATGGCGGACAGACCTGGCCACTCCCCCTGACCAAGTGAGGGAGGTCAGCAGCGCCTGTGACGTCCTGGGCTGTCACCCCTAACACAAGGCAGTGAGAGGCGACTTCACCTCGTTGCCCACAACCCCAGTCTAATTATGAGAACAACATCAGACAAATTGAATTGGGGGTCAGTCTCCAGGATCCCCAGCCAGGACTCCTCAAGACTGTCAAGGCCATAAAAAACAAAGAACATCTGAGACACTGTCACCGAGAGGAGACTGAGGAGACGTGACAACTACACGCAACATGGTGTCCTGGAGTGGATCCTGGATCAGAAAAGGACATTAATACACACACTGGTGAAATCTGAATAAAGTGGGGAGCTTAGTTAACAGTAACGCCCCAACGTTGGTAACTTCTTGTGACAAACCGACCACGGTAATGTAAGGAAACGGGGTGAGGGGGATCCTGGAACTCTCTGTACTAACTGCAACTTTTTTGTACATCTAACATTACTCCAAAATAAAAAGTTTATTTGATCTTTTTGTTTTGTTTTTTGGTGAGGATGATTCGCCCTGAGCTAACAACTGTTGCCAATCTTCCTCCTTTTTTTTTTTTTGCTTGAGGAAGACTGGCCCTGAGCTACTATCTGTGCCAATCTTCCTCTCTTTTGTTCATGGGATGTTGCCACAGCATGGCTGATGCGTGATGTAGGTCCACGCCCGGGATCCTAACACGTGAACCCGGGCCACCAAAGCAGAGCACATGAACTTAACCACTATGCCATGGGGCCGTAGTGGTATTGAAAAAGTATTAAGCAAAGCAAGAGGCAGAAAGCCATCAAAGGTGCAACAGCCCAGAACAGACTATCCCCAGATTTCTTATCACACAAGAAAAACACAGGCTGGGATCTGTGTGAGCCACCATGTCCCGGGTCTCTGGGGTGGATGTCCCGGTCGGGGTCTGTCTAGAATCCACTCCCTCCTTCTAAGAACAGCCTTCCACCTTCCTCTTGGGATGCCCTTTCCCCCAAATTCTCTGCGTGCCTATGATTTGCGTGGGCCTGCCCTACCACCCATAAGCGGGGTGGGCACGTGCCCCAGACCCGGCCCATTAGAGCAGCGCCTCCCTGTGGCTACGGTGGCTGGTTCGGGGACAGGCATGTGGCCAAAATGGGTCAATGAAACTGACCCTAGACGTTGTTGGGACAGCTGGGAGAGAGACCCCCCCTCTTCCACCGTGATTGCTAACTCTAGGGTGCCACAAGCTCAAGGAAGAGAGCCTGCTGGAGTAGGGACAACGTCGAAGAAAGTAGACCTGAATGATGGAGAGACAGTTCCCAGTGACAAAGTTTTGGCACCTGGATCCAAGCAAGCCTGAGGCCATTATCTCAGGAAGGTTCCAACTACACAAGCCAAGTAATTCTCTTTCTTTTTTCCTGAAGCCAGCTTGTGTTAGTATGAGGTTTCTCAAGCTAGATAATACTGATTTTTTTAGGCCAGATCATTCTTTGCCGTGGGGGGCTGTCCTGTGCATTCTAGGATGTTTAGCAGCATGCCTGGCCTTTAACCACCAGATGCTAACGGCAGACGCCCCCTCCCCCTAGCTGTGACACGTCTCCAGACACTGCCAGATGTTCCCTGGGAAGCAAAACTGCGCTGAGAACCAGTGGCCTAGGGCTTCTGAACCTTGCAACTAAAACCTTTCGGTTAATAGACCACCCATCTTCCATATCCCACTCCCCATTTTCCGCACTGCTCAACTCCTGGAAATTCCAACTTGAGGACCAACTTGAGTTCTTCTAAAAAAAAGGCACAGAGTTAGAGAGAAGCAGAGAACTCGGAGAGTGTAAGACGGGAGGGCGGGTCCTTACATGATACTTCGCTGCATGATGGCGTCAGAATTCTCCCTTCCCCTCTGCTCCTCCTCGTCGGCCGTCAGCTGCTCCTGAAACAGACATCCAAATACCTGGTGAGGATACCGGTCGTGCAGAGCCCAAAGCACATACACCTCCTCCTCGTGGGAAGAAAAAAACCCACAAGATCAGAAACCTGAGGTTCCCTGTCAAGAAGAAACTCCCATTTTTCTGGACCAAAATGATTTGCTCGTGAGATTTATTAGTGAACAAAGAGTTCCAAGGCAGAGAACAAGAAGCCTCCTTTACCATACGGAGCCTGCTTTTCATCTAATACAAAGGACACACTGAAGTCCTGAAGGTTTTTTTCAATTTTGTTTGTTTTTTTTTGAAGTTTTAAGGGTAGTGAAAAATTGTTTTTAGGTGACTATGTCATATCCTACAACAACCGTGAAACATGGCAGTTCATGAAATTATACCCACTGGTCTACATAAATCAGCTGCTAAGCGGTCTCTAAGGTACAGCGTTAACTGAAACAAACGGCAGAACATCGCGGAGAGCACACCAACCTCAACAGGTTACACACCGCACGATTCCATTTTCATAATGTTCTCCACACGGCAAAGCTCGAGAGGGAGAAGTGACTAGCGATTGCCAGGGGTGAGAGACAAAAGGGAGGGAGGAGACCATAAAGGGACAGCACAGGGAGTGCAGACGGAACGTTTCCACGTCCCAACTGTGACGGTGGCTACACAGACCTGTACACGGGATCAAATAAGACACACACACACACACGAGTGCAGGTAAACACTGAACAAGCTTTGCAGTCTAGTTAACAGTATTGTCCAGTGCTAATTTCCTGGTTTTGATATTGGACCACAGTCACAAGATGTCACCACTGGGGGAAGATGGTGCAAGAGTCATAGGACTCTATGCACTATTTTCACAACTGCCCATCAATCTATAATTATTTCAAAATAAAAAGTTAAAAACAAAATAATGAAGAAGCTCTACGTACTGATATGGAAAGAACTTACAGACACATTAAGTAGAATTTTAAATAATAATAAAGGAGGCAGAATGGTGCGTATAACATACTTCTGATTTTGTAAGACACGGGAGATAAGAACACGTGTATTCACTAGTATTGCTTGTATTTGCAAAAAGAAGATCTAGAAGGATAATCAAGAAACCAACAAAAGCGGCTGGGGGCAGACAAGACGACGAGTGTGAGCCACACCTGTCACTGTATACCTCCATCCTGATTTTATTTTGAACCATGCATATTTATTATTGTTCAATTTTCTTAAAAATGGTAAATCTAGGACCCACATAGCTTTTCTGATTTTATTTCCCAGCCTCCCACTTCCTCCAGGCTCTTCCCTCTGGGGAATGCCCTGAATACCCCCACAGCCAGTCCCTGTCTGCCTAGCTCTGAGCATTGGACAGAACGCCAGGAAGCTTCCTGCTGTAAGAGACGGCTCACTTCCCCGACCTCTCCTGGTGATGAATCAGTACTTCTCTCGTCACACTTATAATGTCAACGTGTGCTCTTGTGACTACAGTCAGAGTTTATCTTTCCAACCAGATGTGGAGCTCTGGAGCGACTGGGCTGTGCCTGATTCACCTCCATCTCCTCCAAAAATTGTTTCACAAACTTCAGACATTCTTCATACCACCTTTGCAATTTCTACCATATCTATGTAAGGCTTGCATTTTTTTTTCTGTAAAAGATTCAATTTTTTTATTAACTGGAGTGCTTACTAGGTGCCAGGTACTATTCCAAGCGCTTTATGTGAATTAATTTACATATAACGTATTACAATTCATTATTGGCCCGACTTGACAAGTGAGGCCAGGGAGGCACAGAGAGATCACGTAATTTGCTCAAGATCACACAGCCTAATGGGTTGCAGTCAGGATCTGAAGCCAGGTGTCTGGCTCCAGAATGCATGTCCTTAACCACTAACTACTCCGAAGGTGTGGAAGGTAGGGTACCCTCTGTACCGGGACTGAGGAAGACGGAGGTGGCCCCCAGCTCTTGGGGCTGTTGAGATAAAGACAAGTGTAATAATGGTATTGTTACCCCATGCCTCCCAACAACCCGATGAAGCATTTTCAATTTTTAGCCCCATTTCACCGACGAGGAAACTGAGGCACAGACAGGTGAAATCACTCCCCTGAATCACAGAGCTCATAAGCAGAGGAGGGGGATTCAAATCCAGATTCCAGGCACTCTGCCCTCGCATAGACAGAAGAATAGCATCGCTCATCAGAAGTCGGAGACAGGCGCAAAAAATAAGTAAAACGAACAAAGCCAGATTATTAAATTCTAGTTAAAAAGTGCTGGCTGCTGAGGACTCTGAGCCTAGGCCGGCTGCCCTCTGTTCAAAGTCAACCAAGTGCTGGAGATGTGTGGGAGACACCCCGGCACCAAGCTGAGCCTTTCTCCTCAAAGCAAAATGGAAGAGAATGCAAAGGGATTATAGCGCCATTTAACGTCATATCCATACACCACCTCAAATTTCCCTAAGTAATTGTTAATTTTGTTAGGTGTGAAACACATATCAGAAAATACCTTTATTGCCTCAAGAAGCACGCTGAAATAAATAGGGACAAAATGTCATGATGTCTGTAAATTACTTAAAATATTTCAGCAAATGCCTGAAATTTGCTTTAAAATAATTCAGGGTTTTTTTTTTTTTTGAGGGGGAAGGAAAGAGAATGCAGATGAGATAAGAATGGACATATTTTGGGGCCAGCCTGGTGGTGTAGTGGTTAAGTTCGCACGCTCTACTTTGGTGGCCCAGGGTTTGAAGGTTCGAATTTCGGGTGTGGACCTACACACCGCTTGTCAAGCCATGCTGTGGCGGCATCCCACATATAAAGTAGAGGAAGCTGGGCACAGATGTTAGCCCAGGGTCAGTCTTCCTCAGCAAAAAAAAAAAAGAATGGACATATTTTGATAATTCCTGGGGCTGGGTAATGGGTGATTAGGGATTCATACTACTCTCTCTACTTCTGTGTATGTTTGAAACTTCTATAATAAACATTAAATTATTTTTCGGAAAATTAGCTGATGCAAACACAGCAAAATGTTAATAGGCGTAAAATCAAGGTGATGGCATATTGTTATCCTAGCTGCTTTACTTTTCTGTAAGTCTGAAAATTTTTATAGGCATCAAAGAAGAAAACATAACCTAAATTAAGAAAAAAATATATAATTTCAGTATAAAGCTCAGAATTCAGGAAAATCAATAACCTAGTGGATGACCCAGCCCCTCTCTCCCTCAAAAACCTCAAGCTTGGTAAGAATCTCTCACCTTAGAAAGTTCTAACCTATCCTGTACGTGAATTATTTGTAAAAGTTGGGATCTTTTCTTCCCAACCAGTCAGGGAGCCCCCGGATTCATCTCCACACACGGAAGAACAGAGCCTCGCACAGAATTCACTGAACTCATGTCTCCCAAGACCTTTGGTCTCTGGGGACAAAGAGAAAAGCAAACCCCGTCCCTGCTCTTGAAGAAGCTCATGGGTCCTGCTCTTGCAGATGTGCAAAGAAAATAAGGATAGGGCCGGCCCCGTGGCTTAGCGGTTAAGTGCGCGCGCTCCGCTACTGGCGGCCTGGGTTCGGATCCCGGGCGTACACCAACGCACTGCTTCTCCGGCCATGCTGAGGCGGCGTCCCACATACAGCAACTAGAAGGATGTGCAGCTATGACATACAACTATCTACTGGGGCTTTGGGGGAAAAATAAATAAATAAAAATTTTAAAAAAATAGAAAAAGAAAATAAGGATAAAATAGGACTCAGTGCTCCAACCAAGGAGAGACACAGGGAGAGGGGAATAAATGAAAGAAGGAACAAATAAACCAGTCAAGGAACTTGCCTAAAACCCAACCTCTGTATTCGAAGCTCAGGGCTCAGTGCCCTGGCGTTAAATCCCATTTACACGCTGATGATTCCTACATTTATATCTCAATTTCAAACAGCCCATTCTCCAACCACCACCCCTACTTTTCCAGCCGACTTCCTCTAGGAACCCAACCCCAAACGTTCCTCAGTCCTTCCTGGGTCTACAAGCCCAATGGTAAGTCCTCCCTCTTTTCACTATCCCTGTCCCCATCACATCCTCCCTCCCTTCCTTCACTCAGTTTAGGTTCTGGTGCACCATTATCATCTGGGATCTCCCTCTTGTTCCTGCCTCCCCCACTTCATCTCTCCCCCAGCAAAACCCAGTGCTGATTAAACCCAACTCTCCACCTACGCTGTGCCTGCACCCCCAGGCTGAGGGTGTCTGGTCCCCACAGGACCCTCGTGCTACCAGACAAGCTGCTCCATTTCTCTAGACCATTCGACTCTCCCGGTCTCCCAGACCTTATTTCACACCTGCTTCTCAAACCACCAACATCGCCTCCACCCTCGCTCTCAGCTGAGGAAATGGAAGCAGTCAGGAGAAAGACAAGCTCTCGCCGCATCTACTTACACAACTGCGCCTGCACCCATGTGCTCTGACTTCCCACCGCCGGTTCCTGCGGCCCACCCATTTGTGCTCCCGTTTAAGGCTGGCCCCCTTGCCTGCACGCCAGATCTCATGCCCCCTCACCTCCTCAAACCCAAAGCCTCTTTCTCTCCTGCATCAACTTCTCTACTTGATCATTTCCATCCGTTTACAAATCTGCTGTAATTTCTCCCATCTTAAGAAAACAAACAACCTCTCTTGACCCCACATGCTCCTGCAGCTACTGCCCCATTTCCCTGCTCCCCTCTTCAGAGAAGTCATAGAAAGAACTGTCATAAGGCACCGTCTCCAGTCTCTCTCCTCCCATCCCCTCTGGAACCCTCCCGTTCAAGTTTTCCCATATCACTCTGCTGACCCCGCTCATCAAGGTGATCGAGGAACTCCCGGTTGCTGAATCCAAGTCATTTCTTGTTCCTCATCTTACCTGGCCCATCAGTAGCATGTGAAACATCTGAGTCCTTGATCCCTTGAAATTCTTTCTTCATACCACACTCTCACGGTTTCCCTCCCACCTCAGTGTCCGCTATTTCCTGGATTCCTTTGATGGTTCGTCCACAGGAACTGTGGTGAGCAGCATAACGGCCCCCAAAGATGTCCACGTCCTGATCCTGGACCTGTGACTATGTTACTTTACACGACAAAAGGAAACTTTGCAGATGTGATTAAGTTAAGGATTTTGCGATGGGGAGAGTACCCTGGATTATTCAGGTGGGTGCAACATAGTCACTTATAAGTGATGATAAGGAATCCTTGTACGTGGAAGGAGGAGGTCCGAGCCAGAGATTTGAAGATGCTGGCTTTGAAGATGGAGGAAGGGGCTATGCGCCAAGGAATATGAGTGGCCTCTAAAAGCTGGAAAAAGCAAGGAAACGATTCTCCCCCAGAGCCGCCAGAAGGTATGCAGCCCTGCCAACACCTTAATTTTAGCCCTGTGAAACCAATTTTAGACTTCCGGCCTCCAGAACTTTATGAGAATAAAATCTGTGCTGCCTGAAGTCCCTCAGTTTGTGGTAATTTGTTACAGCAGCCACAGAAAACTAATATAGCAACTCACTTTTTAACTGTTACAGTGCCCAAGGCCCAATCCTTAGGCCTCCTCGCTGTCCTATTTACACCCACTCCCTTGGAGATCTCGTCCAGTTTGGCTTAAACATACTCTGTGATGACCCCAAAATGTCTATGCTGATATCTCCATCTGGATGTCTAACCAACATCTCAAACTCAACGGGACCAAAACCAAACTCTTAGATCACACACATACACACACAGATTTTTATTCCTCCTCTAACAGTCCCCATCTCAGCATTGGTAGCTTTTTTTACCCAATTGCTCAGGTCAAAAACTTTGGAGTTCACTACGTACCTACTATTTAACTATTGAAAAACAAAACTGACAATACCAAGTGCTGGTGAGGACGTGGAGCAGCTGGAACTCACGCATTTCTGGTGGGAACGCAAAATGGTACCGTCACTTTTGGAAAAGTCTGGGAGTTCTCATACATGTAGCATAAGACTCAGCAATCCCACTCCCAGGTATTTACCCTATGTGTGAAATTCTGTGTCCACACAACAACCTGTAAACAAACGTTTATAGCAGCAGGTCTGTTCATAATCACCAAAAACTATAAACAACCCACATGTCCTTCCACGGGTGAAGGGATAAACAAACTGTGGTACATCATACAATGCTTTTCATCGCTGAACAGTATTCCATTGTAGGATGTACTAAAGTTTGTACTTAGCAATAAAAAGGAGTGATCTACTGATACAGTACTGGGATGGAGAGGGATCAACGGTTGCCAGGGGGAAGGACTGACTACAACAACGGAGCACAAGAATCATTTTTAGGGGTGATGGAACTTTTCCGTATTTTGATTGTGGTGGTAGTTACATAACTCTACTCGTGGTTCAAAATTTACAGAGCTATACACCCAAAAGAGTAAATTTTACTCTATGCAACATTTTTTAAAATAATAATAAAGAAAAAACCTTGGAGTTACCACTGATTCATCTCTTTCTCTCACTCCCCAAATTCATCTACCAATAAATCCCATTGGCACGCCCTCCAAAAGATAACCTACAGTCAACCACCTCTCACCACCCCAGTGCCGCGAGCTCGGGGCTGGCTACCAACACCCTTGGTCTGCTGTACTATCCCCTCACTCTTTTTCTTCACAGCATTTTGCAGAACCTGACCTTACAAATTAGAATTTGTCTCACCCTCTCGAGCAGTGCTTCTAACAGAACTTTCCGCAAGATAGAAATGATCTGTCTCTGCACTGTCCAAAAATGCAGCTCTAGCCACATATGGCTTCCGGGCATTTGAAATGCAGCTAATTCAACTGAGGAGCTGAGTTTTTCATTTCTTTACAATTAATTTAAATTTCAATACCTACACATGACTAGTGGCTATTGTATTAAGCAGTGCAGGGCTAAACTGTTAAGTTCCACAAAGATAGGGATTTTGTCTATTTTGTTCAGGAATATGGCCACAAGACCTAAAACAGTGCCTGGTACTGAACGCGCTGGCCCATACAGACGCCTTTGATTACTAAAAATTGGGGTAACAAAACATCATGACTAAAGAATTTAGGGTTCACAAGCTGGATCTTTCAAAACCTGGAGGCCATGGTGACGAGGAACGATGTAAAGGGGCTTTAGTGGTGAACAGTTTGAGGACAAGAGGCCAGAAGGCCCAAGTCTGCATTTCTTCTAGTTACTAAAAACTCACATTTCCTGACCTGTCTGGTCCCCTAGGCACACCTCACCCCTGGGAAATACCTTACACGTTTCCCCTAAATATGCTACTCTCCCTCATCCTCCGAGGCTTAAAACAGCTCAGCACCCCTCAAACCGAGGAAGCTGAGACACGACAGGGACAGGGCCTTGCCCAGGGCCACACAGCTGGTCAACGACGGGTACTAGAAACAGAGCATGCCGGTTCTGAGAACCACCTGGGACTCCTGTTTAAAACATCCCCAGCCCACTCCCAGACCTACTGAATCAGAATCTCAGGGAATGGACAGGGAAATCACAGACCTAGCGAGCTCCCAGGGGATCCTAACATAAGATGAAATTAAGGAGGTCTGTCTGAGACGACTCCTTCCTGCCTCTCCCTCGTGCCTCCTCCTCAGGCCCCCTAATAAGTCAGAGATTCAAACGGGCTGAAATGGGGATGGAGGCCACGGAGTGGCGTCCTTAATCCCGTTTTCTGCTGTCTCCCCTCGCCGATCCCTCTCAGCTTTCAGATGCCAGCTCCCCTTTTCAAATGCCCCTCTCTTCTTCCCCCCAAGTGCCCTCCCCGTTACCCTTCAAGCTTCCCCCTCACCTAAAGACATCAAGATCTTCTCTCTTCTCTCCCCAAGCTCCTCTGGCCCTCCCTCCACCTCCTTGGGCAACAATAAACCCAGACCTTTCAACTACCCTCTCCTCGGCCCCACCCCCTCAAACCTCTTCTGTGGCCCGATCCCTTCCCAGGCCTTGGCCCCTTCTTGCTGTCCAACCCGCCCCTTAATCCCTTTCCTTGGCTCCGCCCCCTCATCAGGCATACACAAGGCCAGACTTCACCTTATCCAAAAGATTCCAGATTTTGCCTAGACCTGGACCTTACTATTGACCTCTCCCTGGCCCCGACTAAGTTCAGCCTGGCCCACCTCTTAAAGCTGACCCAGCGTCACCTTCAACCTTTTCCCTGGTCCCGCCCACTATTAAATTTTCCCCTGGTCCCACCCTTTCCAGGGGGCCCCGCCTCCCCCAGCCCATCCAATGTCCGGATAGCCCCGCCCACCCACGGCCTTTCCCTGACCCCGCCCCTCACCCCTCTATGGCCGTGCCCCTTCCAGGTGGTCCCGCCTCCCCCAGCCCATCCAATGTCCGGATAGCCCCGCCCACCCACGGCCTTTCCCTGACCCCGCCCCTCACCCCTCTATGGCCGTGCCCCTTCCAGGTGGTCCCGCCTCCCCCAGCCCATCCAATGTCCGGATAGCCCCGCCCACCCACGGCCTTTCCCTGACCCCGCCCCTCATCCCTCCATGGCCACGCCCCCTCCAGGGTGGCCCCGCCTCTCCAGGCCTCTCCTCAAACCCTGTCGGCTCCTACCGGCTTCGGCCGTCGTCTACGCTCTACCTGGCCCTCTCCCTCCGGCGGACGCCCCTCGCCCCCTCCAGCGGCCTGCTGCCGGCGCTCTCTCCTCCTCACCGCGCTCTCGGCCGCCTCAGCTTTCCCCACGTCCGTTTCTCTGCAGCCGACCGCCCCGGCGAAGCAATGGGCCCCGAGCGTACGACACGCGCGCCGCCCCCCAGCCCCGCCAGCCCCGCGCAGGCGCCCCCACTTGCCTCGCGCTGGCCCCGCGCGCCGCTGTCCTGGGCGCCACACCCGGAACTGCTCGGCGCTCGACTGCAACCCCAAATTCGCGCCACGGAATTCGCGCGCAGACTTCGGCGGGCGGGGCCGGGGCCGAGCCGAGGGCGGGGCCCGGGCGACGTCCGCGCCGCCGGCGCCGCCGCACGGAGGACGCTGGGAGTTGTAGTCTCCCCCTCGGGAGGCTGCCTGGAAAGAGGGTGAAGTGGGGCGAGCCCTCCCGCAGAGCACGCTGGGAAACGGTCCCGAGCCTTCCTTCGCTCTGGTTGAGCGGGCGTGGCTGCGGGTCTGAAGAGCGGCTGGCAAGGAAAGAGGGAGATTCGGTGGAAGCCGCTGCGCGAGGCACGGCGGGAAGAGAGGCGGGAGACCGCGCGGGGCATCCCGGGAGCAAGGGCCGGGCTGGGCCTCGGCGCGGGGCATTGTGGGAGGTGGACGCCGCTCCGGGGCGGGTAGGTGAGTGGGGAGGGGCGGGAAGGGTGCACATCTGGGGGAGGGGAGAGGCACAGCTGGGTGGGACAGCGGGGATGGGAGGGGCCGCGGCGGTCAGGGTTGGGAGGGGTTGGGGAGGCGGGAGCCGGCTGAGAGGGGCTGGAGGAGGGGGGAGGCGCAGCTGGACGTGGGGGAGCATCTGGGGTGAGGAAGCCGATCTGAGGACGAGGGGCCATGTCTAGGACGAGAACGTACATCTGGGAAGGATGATCGCTGTAGACGGGAGGAGGGGGCCACAGCTGGACTGGGGGGCGCGTCTGGGCAGGAGGGGGCCACAGATGAACATTGGTGACACTTCTGAGAATTGGGCACAAGTGAAGGGGGCACACACCTATAGATGAAGGGGCCCTACTGGATTTGGGGAGGACGTCTGGGTAGGGGAGCATCTCTGGGAAGAAGGGGCCACAGCTGGATGTGGCGACCCATAGGGGTCACATCTGGGGGATGGGTAACAGCTGCATATCGGAGACACATCTGGGTAGGAGGGAGCCACAGGTGCATGAAGAATATAACTGGGGATGAGGTGTCCATGACTGGATGTGGGGAGCACACCTGGATATAGAACATCTTTAGAGGGGGGCGCAGCTGGATGTGGGTTACAGCCAAGTGTAGGCACATGGAAGGAGAAGTTCCAGATGAATGGGGGCACTAGAGGTTACTGCCAACTGTAGGAGACACGTCTGGGGGGAGGAAGCCTTAGCTGGAAGTTGGGGACACACTTGAAGTGTCCACAACTGAGCTTAAGGGTCGTATTTTGAGAGAGGGACCCCAGCTGTACCTAAGGGTCACATCTGTGGAGGAGGAGACCAGAGTTGGAATTAGGGATCAGGATATCAGGCTCCAAGTGTCCCAGGAATAATGCAGGGCGTGGGAGGAGGCCAAAGATGGGGTTGAAGCACCTATCTAGAGATGAACGGGTGCATCCCACCCCGGGCCCCACTTGGATAAAGGCACCAGCACCAAAGAGGCAGGCCAAGAATGGAGGAAGTGGGATACCTCTGGTGGGGTTGGGTCTGATATCCACGTGTCCCCCACTGCTTCCACTCAGGCGCCCCAGGATGGAGCCCCCACCCGGCACGGCGGCGGGGCAGGAGGAGCAGGAGCTGCGGGAGCGGGCCTTCTTCTCGTGGGCCGAGTTCAGTCGCTTCTTCGATGCGTGGTGCCAGCAACGGCTGGCGCTCTTCTTCGTCAAGAGCTCCATGCACCTGGCGCGTTGCCGCTGGGCCAGCGCGCCCCCGCTCTACACGCTCATCGACGTGCTCAAGTACAGCTACGTGCGGCTGGTGTGCAAGGACGTGCGCGCGCCCAGCCGGCCCGCCGTGGGGTGCGTGAGCTGAGCCGCTGCCCTGCTGGGTACTGGGGGTGGGGGGCACACCACGGGGGAGGGGGCGGCAGAGAACCCCAGAGACTGGGAGGGCGAGATGCACGCTAAGCAGCTAAACACACCTTGCAGAGAGGCCGTGAGAGTCAAGGAGGGAAGCTTACTGAGAGAGGGAGACAGAGCCAGGGAGCTGGAGGGACAGAGGTGCATACACAGTGAGTGACAGGAGGGGATCCCCTTACAGACTTAATAGAGACTCAGAGAGAGGCAAAGAGTGAGATGAGAGACACACATCCCCGAGAGACCAAAAAAGAAAATTCCAGAAACGTGGAGACATGGAGCCAGAGACACCAGACTGAGCCAGAAAACCAGGTGAGATCAGAGATAGAGACTGAGCTGCAGAGAAGGCCACAGAACAAAGAGAAAAAGATCCATTCAGTAAATGCAGGGCCAAGTCCCATGCTGGGGGCTAGGAATATTTCACTGGGGGCCGGGTGTGAGGGTGTCTTTGAGAAAGACAGACAAATTCCCTGCCTTTCTGGAACTTTCAGACTGGACAGAAGACTGAGGTTATATGAACAAGCTCACAAATAGTTCCCTCCAACTCGAATGATAAAATGAGGGGATAAGTGAGACATCCAAAAGAGAGCTAAGAAACACACCCAGGTGACCAGGGGTGTTTTAACTGACCCCAATTTTAAACTGGGAACATAAACAAGGCTGAGGCCACGTTCCCTGTGTGGCAGACAGCCACCCCATTGAGACCAGGCCTTGGCACTCCGGTGTGCCCCAGACCCCACCAGTCTCTGCCACCTCATACTTAGTACTGCTACTTCCTTGTTTTGCCTGGCCCCCTGAGGTGCGTAAGTTTGAGACAAAGGGGAGAGCAAAGTACTTAAGAACACAGGCTTTGCCCTCAGGCTACTTGAGATAGGCTCTGCCGCTTCCTGGGTGGGTGTCTTTGGGCAACGGACTTCACATCTCCAAGCCTTGGTTTTCTCTTCTCTGAAATGGGGTTATCGCAGTACCTGCCTCGTGGGGCTGTTGTGAGGTTACCGTGAGACCATGCACAGGAAGGCGCTTACCTGATGCCTGGAACCCGGGGTGGCTGGGTAAATGACAGCTGTGACGGGAGTGAAGAGCACAGACTCGGGAGCCAGCAGCCTGGGTGCAAACCACGGCTCTGCTGCTGATGATCCGGTGACGTTGAGCAAGTGGCTTCACCTTTCTGGGCCTCAGTGTCCTCACTTGGAAAATGGGAGAAGTCGTAGTATCTATCTCTTAGGTTTTGTGAGGATTAAATGAACTAATCCATGCAAGTCGTTCGGAAGAGCATCCAGCACGGAGCGAGCGCTCGCTACAGCGACTCTCACCTGTAGTTATTTAAACATTTGTGGTGAGATTACTGTTCTTGGTAATTTACTCACTGCTTGTTCTAGAAACAGAGACTTGGAGATCTGGAAGCAGAACAGTGTCAAACATACATCATCACAGAGAAGTCTAGAACAGAAGAGCTTGCAGGAAGCTTAGGCCCAATCTGGAATCCCTCTTTGTTAACAGAAGCCAAGTCAAGGTAACACTTATTGAGCACCTGCTGTGTGCATGCACTTCACTGGGTGTTTGAAACCCAGAGCTCCTCTCTGCCATTGAGCTGCTCAGAACCTGACAGAGGAGACAAAGACAAAAAAAGAAAAATGGAAATAGTGGCCCACAGTAGTGAGAGAGAGGTTAAGAAAGGAGATGGAGGAGGAGAAGAAAGTGGTCAGCTCCACCTGAGAGCTTACCGGGTGGTTCTGGAAGGCTTCCTGGACTAGGTGACCAGTGAGCAGATTCTTGAAGGATTTTGTCTGTATATTTTTGTATGTACAGTATTGGACTTAAACACGTGGCACTAGCTTTGTGCAGGCACTGTCCCAAGTGCTCTACAAATATCAGGGAGCCAGGGGACAGGAGGGATGGGGCTGGGGATTGACGGGCTGTGGAGGGGACGAGCATGATGCCCTTGGGCTCCGGCCTGGTGACTGGGGAAACAGTGAAATGGTTGCTTGATGGGGAGCCCAGGAATGGGGGGTGGCTGATGAGCTGGCTCAGGGATGATGACTTGGGGCCCATCATTCTGAGCCCTCAGTCCCCCCAGCTGCTCAGGCAGGGCCTCTCCAGTGTCACAGCCCAGGCACGGCCCATGGCCAAGGTCCTAGGCTGGAGTGTAGTGTGTGAGAAAAGGTGGGAAATGTGGCTGCCATGGCGTCGAGGTCTGGACCTGCAGGGCTGGTCCAGGGGCTGGGACTTTATCCTGGGGGCACTGGGGAGCCCTGGGAGGGCTGTGAGCAGGGTCAGCTCGGGATGTAGGAAGATCCCTCGGGCTGCGTGGGGGATGGACTGGAGGAGAGGGACAAGAGGCCAGGGAGGAGGCTGCAGCTGAGGGTCCAGAGAACACACATACGGGCTTTCTTCCTGCCCATGCCTTCCCCCTTTCCTGAGGTTGCACAGTGACCTCCTCCTAGTCACCATCCCTGCACCTTTGCCTCTCCAGCTCCGCTTTCTCTCCCACTCCATCCCCTGAGCCTCTCTCTCAGCACGTCCCTTTCTAGAACAGGATTGCTCAACCTTTCCCAGTACCCACCAGCCTTTGAAAACACAAAGATCTTGAGAATATAAAAGATCAAGAAGAAATGGGCGAGTAGAATGCAACACAAGTCAAAGCGATGGCACTTTTGGAAGAAAAAAGATGTTTTGGAAATAGCGGCAACTTTTTATTAACTGTTTACGCTGCACCAGCCCCTTTTCTGACCACTTTACATCATTTAATCCTCTTGTTTCGTCCTCTCAACAAATCTGTGAGGTCAGTATTATCAGCTCCAATTTCCAGATGAGAAAACTGAGGCACAGAGAGGTTAAGGGACTTTCCCGAGATAACACAGCTACCAAGAGGGGGAACCAGGATTTGGATCCACACAGGTTGATCACAAAGCCCTGATCACAAAGCCCCTTTTAATTACCACCCTGTCTCCTCCTCCTCTCTCTCTCCTCTCCTTCCTCTCATCTTTATTTCAATCGTGGATTATTAATATGAGAGTCGAATGTGCCAGCACCCTAAAGATTTTTTTGGTTCTAGGTGCCATGCTGTTTGTCCCTTCATCCAAGAGGTTTGTTGCGAGCACCTTCTGTGTGCAGGGCAAATGTGTTTTAGATGCTGAGGTTTCAATGGGGGAGTGCCCCATTCGGTGAGGAGCATATGTTACAGATGGGCATCAATCAAATTACTACCCCAATGTGTGAGGAGATCTGCTCTAGCCTGGAGATGATCAGGGAAGGCTTCCTGGAGGAAGTGGCACTGGCTCTGAGTTGTGAAGGATGAGTAGGAGTGAATTAGGTGAAAAGAAGGGAGAAGGATGTTTCATGAAGAAGGAAAGAACTTATAGTAGGATGGCGGCAGTAGGAATGGAAAAGAGTGGATGCTTTGGAGAGTTTAGAAGGCATGGTGGGCAGGACTTGGTGATGGGTGGTTTTGATGGGGTGAGCGGAGTTCCTGGGGTACGTACAAGTGGGATTCAGCCATTCACTCGTCATATATTTACCCAGCACCTCCCAGGGGCCAGGGGCTGTTCTAAGTGCTGGGGATACACCAGTAAGCAAAACAGCAAAAATTCCTGGCCACTTGGAGTTGACACTTACAGGTGGGTGGCATTTTCCCCCAGCTAGGTGGAGAGAGGTTGCAAAAATGGGGTGTTGAGGCGGCAATAGACAGTTATGTGAGACACTGGGATCCCACGGTGGGGACGTGCTGTTCTCTGGCAAGATGGAGGGCTTCACAGAAGAGGTGACGTCCCCCGAGTGGAGGCTTGTTCTAGGGGCTGAAACACTCAAGTTAAAAGAAGCCAGACCAGAGAGTTTCACAAAAGCCTGTGAGTTATTCTAGGGAAATGTGTCGGGTAGAACCTGGCGAACTTGCCGTGTTGGTAGATCAAAAATGGCTGCATAGGGGCTGGCCTGGTGGCGTAGTTAAGTTTGCACACTCTGCTTTGGAGGCCCGGGGTTCGCAGGTTCGGATCCCAGGCACAGACCTGCGTGCCACTTATCAGGCCATGCTGTGGCAGCATCCCATATAAAGTAGAGGAAGATGGGCACAGATGTTAGCCCAGGGCCAATCTTCCTCGGCAAAAAGAGGAGGATTGGCATCGGATGTTAGCTCAGGGCTAATCTTCCTCACCAAAAAAAAAAAAAAAATTGCTGCATGTTGGAAATTTCTTTTAGTTCCACCTGATACCACCATGGTGGCTATATGGTTGTATTTTACTTATAATGATTTGTACACTTACAATTTTTCTAAATTTGCATTATTTTTGTTACTTTAAATAAGGCAAAAAGTCTCAAACTCTTTATATAGATTTTTAAAATCTAGCAGCCTCCTGGGTTTTACTTTACCTCCTGCATGGCAGAGAAAAGGGTGTGTCAAGGATCTCCGCTGGACAGTCTCTTAGAAAAGGGTCAGCAAACTGGGAGGCCCTTGGGCCAAATCCAACCAGCAGCCCAGTTTGTAAATAAAGTTTTATTGGAACACAGCCATGTCCATTCGTTTTCATATCGTCTGTGGCTGTGTTCACAGTACAGCAACAGAATATATCTACTGTCTTGCCCTGTGCAGAAAATGTTTGCTGATCCCTGCTCTATAAGCATAAAACCTCCTACAAAAAATGCTGATATCACCCCTTTCCCTTTCAGAAAGCAGATGTCAATTTAAATATTATCACGGAAATACACTTTGATTTCCTCCCCCTGTATTCTCTTTCATTTTTTACAGTGCTGGATGTAACTTGCTTAATTGATTTCAGGTAATGGGCTATGCCCCACAGTTTGAGAACCACTGATGTAGACACTCTCTTACTCACAGAGAGAGATATAAGAATGTTCATTGAAGCACTGTTTGTAGCGAGGGAGAACTGGAGACAACATAACAGTTGGCAGAGTCATGGAGTGGAATATTAGGCAGCAGATAAAAGGAATGAAACAGAAAACTCTTGAAAAGCTGATGAGTGAAAAAGCAAGTGGCAAAAGGATATATAGAATGTGATGCTTGTACTGTATTAGTTTCCTGTTGCTGCTGTAACAAATTACTGCTAACATAGTGGCTGAAAACAACACAAGTGTGTTACCTTACAGCTCTGAGGTCAGAAGTCCAACATGGGTCTCACTGGGCTAAAATCAAGGTGTCTGCAGGGCTGTGTTCCTTCTGGAGGCTCTAGAGGAGAAACTGTCTCCTTGCCCTTTCCAGCTTCTAGAAGCCACCCACGTTCCTTAGCTTGCAGCCTCTTCCTCCATCTTCAAAGCCAGCAGCCTAGCATCTTTCAGTTTCTCTCTCTGATTCCCCTCTTCCCCTTGTAAGGACCCTTGAGATTGCATTGGGCCCACCTAGATGATCAAGCATCATCTCCTCATCTCAAGATCCTTGATTTAATCACATCTGCCAAGTCCCTTTTGCCATGGATGGTAACATTTGCACACCTCTAGCAACTAGGATGTGAACATCTTTGGGAAGGCGGGGATGTTGGTTTGCCTACCACATGCTAGAAAGCAAAAGTTTCCTAAGTAAACTTTTAAAAAATGTAACCACGTTCAGAAAAGTGCGCACATCATACGTGTGCAACTTGGTGAATTTTCCCAAAGTAAAACGCATGTGTAACCAGCACCGGGAACAAGAGACAGAACGTGTACAGTGCCAAGAAGTCCCCACGTGCCCCCCACCGTAGAATTAACCACTCAAGGCTAACCACTATCCAGTCTCTTGACAGCAGATGTTAGCTTTTCCTGCTGTTGAACTTTCTACAAACGGGAATCATGTGGTGTGGCCTCTTTTGTTTGGCTTCCTTCATACAGCAGGTTTGTAAGATCCATGTTGCTGTGGATAGTAATGGTTCATTCTTATTGTTGATTAGTATTTTATTTTAGGAACATATCACAACTTATTCTCCTACTCTATCGCAGGATATGTGGGTTGTTTCAAGTGTTTGGCTAATGTGAATGGTGCTGCTAGGAACATTCTAGTACACGTCTTCTGGTGCCCATAGGCAGGTTTATCTTGAGTGGAATCGCCGTTCTCAGGGGAGGCACATGATGAGCTCTACTAGGTATGGCCACGCAGTTTCCAAAAGTGATCGTACCATGCCACACTCCCATCATTGATGAACGAGAGTTCTGGTTGCTCCACGTCGTCATCAACACTTGATGTTATCAGTCTCTTTTTTTGGTCATCCTCATGGTGCAGTGGCATTTCCTTGGGGTTTTCATTTGTATTCCCTTGATGACTAATGAGTTTGGGCACCTTTTCTTGTATGCAAAGTTTTAAAACGTAGGAACCTAGGGGCTGGCCCGGTGGTGTAGTGGTTAAGTTCACGCACTCCGCTTCGGCGGCCCGAGGGTTCGCAGGTTCGGATCCGGGGCGCGGACCTACTCACTGCTCGTCAAGCCGTGCTGTGGTGGCGTCCCATATAAAGTAGAGGAAGATGGGCACGGATGTTAGCCCAGGGCCCATCTTTCTCAGCAAAAAGAGGAGAATTGGCAACAGATGTTAGCTCAGGGCTAATTTTCCTCATAAAAAAAAAAAAAACATAGGAACCTGCCTTCCATTGTTTATGGGTGCATAAAAACGTGCAGGAATGCTAAATACCTAATTTGGGTCGTGGCTACCTTTGGGGACAGAGGGAAGGAGGGGAATTTGTTGGGGCAGGGCTCCCAGAGGGCCTCAACTTGCACCATCAGAAGTGGATACAGGAGTATCTGAAATGTTTTATTTTCTTAAATTTGGGTAAATATAATAAAACATTCATTCACTGATAGAGCTGGGGGTGGTGTGTACAGAATTCCAGCAAACAGCGCTCACCACGTTCCGGACGCCGTTTTTAAGTGCTTTCCACATATCAACTCTCTTAATCCTCACAACAACCCTATGAGAAGCGTGTTATGAGTATGACCTCCCTTTTAACGTAGGAGGAAACTGAGGCACAGAGACTGTAAGTGACTTGCCCGAGGTCACACAGCTGGCATATGCTTTAGGCCCTCTCCTCTTCTCTATGCTGCAAATAATCTTAATTTTAAAAAATAATAGTGAAAAGGAGAGAGGAGGGGGAAGAGGGCGGCAGGGGGTCGTGACGGCGGCCGTGGTCGTTCCTCCCGCAGGCCCCCCCAGCCCGGCTGCCCGGCCTTCATCATCGTCAAGCTGAGCCCGCTGCGGGACCGCCTGGTGGTGACCGAGTGCCAGCTGACCCACTCGCACCCGGCCTGCCCGCTGGAGTTCGCCTACTACTTCCGGCCGGGGCACCTGCTGGCCAACGCCTGCCTGCCCGTGCGCACCACCAACAAGATCTCCAAGCAGTTCGTGGCCCCCGCCGACGTGCGCCGCCTGCTCTCCTACTGCAAGGGCCGCGACCACGGCGTGCTGGACGCCCTGCACGTGCTGGAGGGGCTCTTCCGCACCGACCCCGAGGCCAAGGTGGGGGCGGGTCTCGGGAGGGGCAGCAGGGGGCGGGGGAGAGCCAGGCCCAAGACTGCTTGTGGGTCATTCATTCATTCATTCATGCGCCCACCCACTCATCCGTTCGCCCCTTCATTCATTCTCCGTGCATCCATTCATAAGTACTTACTGAGCACTGGGGAGGGAGCAGCCAACCAGACGCACGTCCCTGCGCTCGGAGACCTCGCCCTCTAGTGCAGCCCTGACCACCAGAACTTTCTGTCCTGGAGGAAATGCTCTGTGATTCTGCGCTGCCCCCGTGGTAGCCCCCAGCCACACGTGGCTACTGAGCGCTCGAAATGTGGCCAGTAGGACCGAGCGACGGGATTTTTAAATTTTATTTCATTTTAACGAATTGAAATTTAAATAGCTGCTTGTGGCTATGGGCTGCTGCCGCCTTGCAGTTGTGGTGGGAGAAGCCGACGGTAGACAGACACATCCAAATAGGACATAAACTCAGTAGGGTTGGGGCTGGGAAGGAGGGGATTCAAGGTGGTGGAGGTGCTATTTAAAAAAAAGAAAGAAACAGAACATTTTTAAAAACTGAGCTACACATGTAGAAAATGCACAAATGATAAGTGTAGCATTCGATGAGTGTTCACGAAGTGAAAACACGCCGGGACCCATCCCCCAGATCAAGAATGAGAAGGGAGGGTGCTCTGTAATGTGATGGAGCGAGCAGCCTGGTAAAGGAGGATAGGTGAGGGGCGGGGGGAGAGACACGAGTAAGGGTGCTGTTTTCATTTGAGTGGCCAGGGAAGGCCTCTCTGAGGAAATGATGGTGAACCAGAGGGGACAGAAAGGAGGGAGGGGACCCCCATTCTGTCTTCAGAGGGAAGCGAGGTCCATCAGGCAGAGGGAACAGCCGATGCAAAGGCTCAGAGGCTGCAGCAAGCTCTGTGGTTTGGAGGAGCAGTGAGAATGCTGCCTCTGTAGGGAATCTTTCTGCTGCTCTGGTCCAACTTCAGGGCCCAGGTGGAGAAGGAAGGAAGGGAGGGAGGGAGGGAGGAAAGAAACTGGTTTCTGTGGTTTTTTTTCGTGCATGGAAAAGGTGCCAACTCAGGGTGCAGATGAGGAGTGAACCCACTCTCCAGAATCAGGCCCACAGCACTCTCCCCATCTCCATCTCATGCCCAGTAACCAGCCCTCTTTCAAGCCACCAACCCAAACCCAGGCCTCTGTCCGCACACAACATTGATAATGATTTTAGCTAACGTTTATCAAGCCCTCACTCTGGGCAAGGCGCTAGCCTAAGTGTTTTAGATCTTGTGATTCGTTTAAATCTCACCAGATCACGATGAGGAGGGCGTCCCCCGTTCTCATCTCCATTTTACAAACGAGAAAACTGAAGCACAGAAAGGTGAAGTAACTGGCCTGAGGGCACACAGGTACTTAATGACAGAGCTGGACTCCAGACTCACACAGTCTGGATCCGGGACCCCGATCTTCACTGCTCTGCTGTTCCCCAGTTTGAAAATGAGGCTCGGGCCCCCCCCCCGTCAGTTCTAGGCTCTGGGGGGTTGAGAACCCCACCCAAGTCAGCGTGCCACTCTGTAAAGTGGGGGTACACACGTATGCGCTCCACACCCCAGTGATCTTCGCTGAGCTACTCCTTGTGGAAGCACCCCGTGTAGGGTCACCTCTGTGAGAAGCAGTTTGTCATAAAGGAAAACCTTTGATGTCAAGGGAGCGTCCTTGTAACTCTGGTTTGGAGGCTGTCATGGAATCTAACTTAAACCAAGGCCAGCGCCCGGGTCTGTGTTTTGGCCACCGTAATACTTTTTTGTTTTTGCTTGGGAAGATTCGCTCTAAGCTAACATCTGTGCCAATCTTCCTCTATTTTGTGGGTCGCCACCACAGCATGGTTGCCGAGTGGTGTGTAGGTCCGTGCCCGGGATCCGAACCCACAAACCCAGGCAGCCGAAGCGGAGCACGAGAACTTAACCACTGTGCCACTGGCTGGCCCTTGGCCACCTTAACACTTTTAAAAGAAACGAGGAAGAAGTTCTTGAAAACCAAGAGACAGACCAGTGAGAGGGTTACTCCTTTTAAAAAAAAATTTAAATATTGACCTTTTGAATATGTAACACATTCACATGGTTCTAAATTCAAAAGATGCAAAAGGGTGTGTAGTAAAAAGTCCCCTTGTCACCTCCTGTCCCTCAGGTCCCCTCCTCAGGCCGCCAGAGTATCAGGTGCCCATCCAACTTATGTATCGTTCTGTTTACAGACCATTACTGCCCAGTGGAACTTCCTGCGGGGATAAAAATGATCTATGTCTGCGCTGTCCAGTATGGTAGCCCCTGGGCTCATGTGGCTATCAAGCGCTTGAAATGTGGCTGCTATGACTGAGGGAACTGAATTTTTAGTTCATTTTAATTAACTGAAATTTAAACAGTCCCACGTGGCTTCTATATTGAACAGCACAGCTCTATATGTACACAGATAAATTAGCGTGTCTTTATTTTTAACCTTATTTCCCCTTGCCCCCTCCCCCAGCAAGGTAGCCTATTCTACACACTTTTTTGCATCTTGCTTTCTATATTGGGGCGTGCCAGGTGTGAGCATCTTTTGTTCTTCTGCTGGGACCGGCCAAATCCCCCTGAGAAAACTCCAGCCTCCTGGCTGGCTGGTGGGTAAAGGCCAGGCTGCCAGATTCTGGGAGCCACAATGCAGGGGAGGGCTGGGGAGCTGGCATTTGGTCAGCAAGATGCACTGGACCCCCTTTCCCTCATCACATGGGCCCAGTGTACCCTGGGCCAGCAAACCTTTCTGTTTGACCCTCTTCACAGAATAAACCCCCAGCCCCCTGAGGGTGACAGGAAACATGAGCTTGAGATACCTAACTGCTTCTTAAACAGCCCTCAGCTATCTTTGTTTTAACCTCCCCACACTGCCCAGTGCTGCCGGTTCATTTTAAGGACTCTGCTGTTGTCCTCAGCATTTCCCAATTGCTGGCTTGGGAATCGTGGGCCCTGGTTTTTCCTTTCCTATTGCCTCTGTATTTATTTATTTTTTTTTAAAAGATTTTATTTATTTATTTTCTCCCCCCAAAGCCCCAGTAGATAGTTGTATGTCATAGCTGCACATCCTTCTAGTTGCTGTATGTGGGACTCGGCCTCAGGATGGACGGAGAAGTGGTGCCTCGGTGCGCGCCCGGGATCTGAACCCCGGGCCACCAGCATCAGAGCGCGTGCACTTAACCACCAAGCCATGAGGCCGGCCCTGCCTCTGTATTTAAAAACAAAAAATCCTGGGGCCAGCCTGGTGGCGCAAGCAGTTAAGTGCACGCGCTCCGCTGCGGCAGCCCAGGGTTCGCCTGTTTGGATCCTGGGCGCGCACCGACGCACCACTTGGCAAGCCATGATGTGGCGGCGTCCATAAAGTGGAGGAAGAAGGGCACGGATGTTAGCACAGGGCCAGTCTTCCTCAGCAAAAAAAGAGGATTGGCAGATGTTAGCACAGGGCTGATCTCCTCACACACACACACAAAAAAATCCCTTTTCTGTAGACATACTTGAGGCTCAGGAAAGACTGAAATTAGGGGGATGTGTTCAGTCTATCACCTTTACATGGAAGTTTCACTTGTCTTTTTTCACTTAGAAGATATATTGAAAGAGTTCTGTATTATTAATATATAGGAGAATTCTTTATTCTCGTCCCAAGACCAGGCTAAGCAACAATCAGATGTTATTCTCTGTGCTTCCAGCACGTTCCTGAAGGAGGGATTATTTTGAAGAGCTGAATGCCTGGGACCCCCTGAGTCGAGGTGGCTCACTTGGTCTTGGGAGGGAATCAGACAAGAAGAGTGTACCCGCAAGCCACAGCCGCAGTTTGTGGGCAAGACTGAGTGACTGCTTCAACCAGGGAGGTGTTGAGACCTTGTATAATCTCCCCTGAGGCAGTGATGACGGGCTGAGGTGTCCCATCATGTCTCCATTACCTCATTTGTGGCAGGCTCTAGGGTATCCTGTAAGCAAGCTGGCTCTCTGGGCAGAGATGGACCTTGCCGGGAAAGGCTGCAGCCTTCTCTTATGTGTGTGCTTTGCCTTCTGAGCAAGGTGAACAGTGATCTGAGAGTGCTACTTGTAAGAATACTAAATGACAAACTGGCACAATCTCAACGGAGTACGATTTGGCATTATCTATCAAAATGTCCAGAGCACTCACCCTTTGACCCTCTCTCCCACTGCTGCGAATTTATCCTGCAGACGTAGTTGGAATGGAACGACTTATGCACAGGGTTAATCATTGTGGCTCGTGAAAGCAAAAGATTGGAAACAACCAAAATTCCACCAGTGGGTAACAGTTGCATAACTTGTGGAATCTATCTGTGGAATACTATGCAGCTTTGAACAAGAATGAGAACAATTCTAGGAACTGATCTGAACAGATCTCTCATCTTTTTTTTTTTTTTTTGGTGAGGAAAATTGGTCCTGAGCTAACATCTGTGCCAGTCTTGCTCTACTTTGTATATGGGACACCGCCACAGCATGACTTGATGAGCAGTGTGTAGGTCTGCCCTTGGGATCTGAACCTGCCAAAACTGGGTCGCCGAAGCAAAGTGCATGAACTTAACTGCTACACCACAAGGCTGGCCCCCACATATATTTTTAAGTTAAAAAAAAAAAAGCGAGATGCAAAACAGTGTACATAATGTGCTGTTTTATGTATAAAATGGAGAAAAGACTCTATAGGTGTAATTCCTTGTATTCACATCAAGAAACTCTAGAATACCAAGAAAAGTGGATGAACATAGGAATAGCTAATGGAATGGAGCGGGTAGAATATAGAGGTGGGAAGAAAACATTGTGCTGTGTAGCTTCATGTTATTTGACTTTTGGATGCTGTGGATTTTTGCACATTCAAATAATTCATTGTAAAAGAGAAGATGAGGGGCCAGCCCTGTGGCTTAGCAGTTAAGTGCGCGCGCGCTCCTCTGCTGGCAGCCTGGGTTTGGATCCTGGGCGCGCACCAAC